TTTTAAGCAATAATTTGAATGAATACTCCTTAACATTAATACTGGTCAATAGTTGAAGGCCCAAACTGAAATAGGTACGCAGGAAATAACCACTAAAAATATAAATTATAATAAAAATCTCAGTAGGGCTTAAAATATTGGGTGGCATATAAGAGAGATAGTTCAGTGAGTTTGAGTTAAAGCAAGTGGTCCCAGAGCCTGAGATACATCGTGGGACCCAGATGGTGAGGTTTATTGATGATGCATTTCAGACATACACTATGACATCCATTTGTCTGTACACATATATAATTCAAATAAAATTTTAGGGATTTTTATAAAATATTATTGAAATCCAAATAGCTAGTCCACATAATTTTCAAAATGAACCTAATGTATAACCCTTGTTCTTTTTCTACCCTTAAGCTACCACACACAGGACATATCCTCCAGTTACACAAGCAGTCTCAGCCTTACTTCATCTGCACTTGTCATGACAGAGCTGTTACCGCAACTGACACATATGTAAGTGTGACTTGACTAATTCATTAAATACTTATTTAATGAAAGTGGGAAACAAGGGGTATTTACCTCTGAATTCTCAGCACCTAAGACAAGTACGACATATGCAAATTATAACCCTTAAGAACTACCTAGCATAATAGAAAAGTTAAAGACTGAACTACGAAGAAAGGCTTGAAAGCCAAGTAGTCAATACAAGAACTGCAAAACTAGAAAACTTGAAATATTAACTGATAAAATTAATTTTATTAATTATTATTTTAAATTACCTGTATTAGAACAAGCCATTTACTCATTCCCTCTAGGACATTAGAAAAAAGGTGGCACTCCCTATACAATCCCAGCATTCAGGACACTGAAGGAGGTTTGATTTGCAGACCAGTCTGGTGTTTCAGGGTTTGAGGGCTATATAAGATTGTGTCTCACAAAGGTGGGAGTGCAGAGAGGAAGGAAAAATTAAAAGATCTTTTTGGTACGTGTGTGTGCTGGTATGTGTACGTGTGTGTGCTGGTGTGTGCGCTATGTGTATGTGTGTGCACATATACACAAAGGTCAGAATAAGGTGTCTTCCTCTTTTTCCTCTTTCATTCTCATACCTTTTTTTTTTTAAGAAAGGTTCTCTCAGCAGATCACGATCTCACCCCTTCACTATACAGAGAGCAAGACCAGGCCCTACCAATCTCTGGGGAGGCACAGGTCAATGCTGGGGATCCAAGCTCAGGTCCTCATGCTTGCACAGCAAGTATTTTACCTACTGAGTCATCTCCCCAGGCCCAAATAAAAGGTTTATCAGCTATAAAATCATATAATTAAAATGGTAGGACTTCTAAATAGCAATGGAGAATAAATAATATATAGAACCATTAGAAATTCATAGTGCTATAAAGACAGCACAAAAACAATCCATAAAAATCTCTCAGGTATACTTAATGGGCTGATTTCACCTTTCTAAAGACCTCCTTTAATGATTTAGACACCCACAGTATGTTCATTCTTGCCCATAAAGGAATCCCTTCCTGTACAAACTGCACTACCTTTTGTTATCATTTCTGACCTTCCTAGGTTGTAATTAGGTAGTATGAGATCTAACTGGTTTTCTTTCAAACCGGACAACAAGAACTATATAGTCAAGAAACACAGGTTACCATCTCAAAAGCTTAAGAGTTGCTTTAGAGTCTTTTTACATATTCCACCTTTATTTCACCAACTAACGACATTTTGCTAAAAAGTTGAGGCCAAAGAAATGCATCAAATAAAAACTATTTTACCTTAAGATAGGTACCTATTTTAAAATACAACCTTTTTTTTACATTGAACGAATGTTTTCTCCACCCTATACTGATTAACAAGCACATTTCAAATATTCTGCAACAGTCCAAGTTCAAGCACACTACAAGTACCCTGTAACTTATGAAACGTCAAATGTTAAGTCAAGATTAGACAAGTAGATAAGAATACTGGAAGCTTACTTCATTAAGAGGAAATACTTCTAAAAAGATCTATAGGGCACAGCTTTGATTTGGTGTAGCATGCGTATGAAAACTAAGCAGCTAAAAATATAAAATAAGCAGTTACGTTCATGCTTTAGTTCATTAGCCATAATTATAAAATGTATAATACAATATATGATGCAAGAAATATGGTAAGGCTAACAAGAAATAAATTATCTACCAACCTAATCACAACTCATTTCAGTATCACTTTACATACCATTCTGCTGCTAAATTACAAAGCCAATGTCAATTCACTTACGACAAAGCAGTTATCCATTCACTAATAGTCTAACAAAAATAAACACTGTCACTTCCTAACATCTAAATTCCCTCCCTGAATAATTTAGATAGCTTTATAAACAAGAAGTTTTACACCAAGTCTAAGTTACCAACCTCAGCACTCACTGAAGTAACTTATTTGTTTGGTTGCTTTTTTGGTTTGAATTATGTCTTATTTAAAATAAATATTGTTTGCCTCTTCACACATGAGAGACAGATGAAGGGCAGAGCAACTGAACCTGAGAGACATTCTTTCCCTCAATCTTCACCCTTACATCTACACATACAAGGTCTAGTTTTTGTTTTGTTCTAAAATACCAAGAGTTTTTATATGTGGATTACCTTTTAAAACACACTAGCCTTTCAGAAATATTATAACATACAAGAAATATTGGTAATTCAGCATATTTTAAAAACAAGTACGACTGAAATTCAGCTATTTGCACAAAACATCCCAATTTTATTCACAATTGATATGGATAATCAAAGACAAAAATATGCATTTGGGGTTGGAGGGATAGCTTGGCAGTTAACAGCACTGGCTGCTCTTCCAGCGGGTCCAGGCTCGATTCCCAGCACGCACACGGCTGCCCTCAACCTTCTATAGCTCAAGTTCACACCTGGCTGTTCACAGCCTCTGGACTCCAGTTCCAGGAATCTGAGTATCCCGGCCTCTGCCAAGTATGCATGTGCTACAGACACGTGTAAGCAAAACTCATACATATAAAATAAATACATTTATATCTCAGCAACTGTTCAGAAGTCACTATGAAATTATTTCATATAGACACTTTTAGTTTATATCTGGGAGAGGGAGAGCCTTTATGTCCTATCCCAGTCACATAAAGAACAGCTATTAATTATTTATTCATTTTATTTATTTATTACAGAGCTAAGAAAATCAAACACAGACCAAATACAACTCTACCACTGAGCTACATCCTTGACCCAACGTGACAGTATTTTAAAAGAATTTGTGCAAGCATATCAAAAATTCTAATCCTTGGTTCCTATTTATACATAAAGTACTTCAAATGTATGATTGGTCTGTCGTTCACATGATGATTTAGGATCTGTACTTGCTACAATTACCAAAAACAGCTCTGATCTACTTTCCAATTATGACATCTAAAAAAAAAAAACTAAAAAGCAATCCAGGTTCACAATATGAATGTATCTCTTTATACCATCACTTTTCTACCCATACTAACTTCTGAGTGAGAGAAAACAATGACGTATCACAAGACAAGTGCCAACGGAGACAAACACAGTTTCTTCAGGAACTGAGTAAGCACCTTGGGAAAATGTACTCTAAAGCGAGGCCAAGACCATAACTCCAAACTGAGATTTCAAGAGTGTGATTTCATGTTAGCTTTACATTACACTGACTCCTTTGAAAGGTACAAATCAAACTAAACCCTTGTCTATTTTACTTTGCAAATGCATACTCAAACTAACAAAAATACTTTACATCTTAAGTTTAAAAGGCTTATATATACACTTAAATTCTTTTTAAGCACTCAGCCAAAGTTCCATGTGTGGAAAATGATTATATATTTAGGTATTTATCTAAAAATCTTTATCTGTCACATGAAAAAAATGATAAAATATATTTGTAATTTACTTTGTAGAATGTTACAAATTGTGAATAGCTAAATCTCTAAATTTCTTCAAGTACATAGCAAAGAACAGTTATAAAGGCCATGCCAAGGTGGGGTGGCAGTGAAGACCAGGAGTGCACTAATAAAATTAAAAGTCTTTGTCAGTGCCGATGACTAAAACACAAAAACACTCGGTTGCACAAGTGTACCCTGGGATTCTGAAACACAGCAACCCCAAGTGTTTGATTCGGCAACCCCTCTGAGAAGATGTTGGAACTTCTGGCATGTATAAAGAGCGTACAAGATTATACAGGTGTAAGAGACTAATCATCATGCTGGAGACCACTTTACCACACAAGCCACGACTGCAACCTAATTTTTCCTTCAGCATCCCTAGAGTTCTCAAAATTATTACGGTCTAGATCGCAAAGCAGCGTTTCCTCTTTTACACAAACCAACAGAAAGAAAATCAAATCTGCAAGTGTAAAGGGGAGATGAGATGGGAAACACAGCCCCAAAGCATCTTCTTTCCAATTCCCGAAAAGACATGTATTCCACCTGTTTGTAAAGCCCTATTTGTACAGTTAACACAAACCCTCTGAAAGGGAATGGGGGAAAGAGGGAGAGAGGAGAGGGGAGAGAAGGAGGGGAGGCGGGCAAATGACTGCTTCGGAGTCCTTATTCTTCTACCTAGGCATGGGGGAGGGGATGGTACAAAACAATGGATACCGAGGGGCTGGGGGAAAATCGTTTTGCCCTGCAGCCTCCGGCGTTCCTAGCTGGGGGCGGGGAGTTACACTACTTTTCCTCTAGCCCTGAGAGCCAGCACGGAGATTGCCATCAGGCGTGCTAACAGGGCGGTCTCGGCGGCCACAACTCCTTCCACCCGGCAACACACCCAAAGCCAGTTCACCACTCCGCACGCAGGGTCTGCGCGAAGGCGCCCGCCCAGCGCCCGGGGCTTTGGGGAGGAGGCGCCGAGACCCCACCCCACAGCCCCACGGCCCCGCGGCCGCGCCCGCCCGCCCGCCCGCCCGGCGCCAACCGTCCCCACGACCCCCGGCGGCCCGCAGCCCCGGCCGGGCGGCGCAGAGAGCCGAGAGCAGCTCGAGCGAGCGCGACTGACCGTCTGCCCCGGGCCCGCGCCCAAGCCCCGGGGCTGTCCCAGCCGCCGTCTCCGCAGTAGGCCCGGCCCAATGCTGTCAGGGTCGGCCGGCTGCTCTCGGCGCCCCGCCCGCTGGTCCCGTGCAGGCAACGGCTCCGAGGACCAGGGGCTCCGGGCCGTGGCACCCCGGAAAGCGGCCGCGGCGCCTCCCAGGGCCCCGACCCCTCAGGCCTCGCCCGGCCCCGGAGGCTCGCGCCTGTCAGGACGTGTGGGGCCTCCCCCTACCGACAGCCAGCCGGACCGCCCGGCGAGCAGGAAGGCAGCAGGGCTGACCCCAAGGCGCCCCCTCCGCCTCGCCCGCCGCAGGTTGTCGTCGGGACCCGGACTCCGCCAGCACCGCTCACCTCCTTCCTCCTCCTCCTCCTCCTCCAACTCCTCCACCTCCTCCGTCTCGTCCTCCGCTCCCAGAGCGACGCTCCCCTGCCACCGCCCCCCCGCCCCTCCCCCACTCGCCCCGCCCCTCCACACACTCCGGCTCCAATAGCCCCGCCCCGGGCCTCATAGCAAGCCTGGCATTCGCTAGGAGGAATAGATGGGCGGAGCTAGAGCAAATGCAGTTGTCCAATCAGAGGGAGGTAGTGCTGCCAGTTTCCCTTTCCCCGCCCTTTTCCTTTCCTCCGCGGCTGTGAGCGGTCTCCCGCCCACTGGGCGCCGCTGGCTAGCTCGGCCACAGAGAAAGCCTCCAGCCGGGTAGAGAAACAAATCCCAGGCGGAAGTGACGATGGAAGGCCAGGCAGCCATAATTGATAATGGCAAGAGGCGTTTCCTGTCTCCCGTTTTACGTACACACGTTTCCTTCATTCCGTCCCCGTTACCCCGGGCAACGGCGGATCCATCTGGGAAGAAAGGAACCGGTAAGTATACCTACAGGAGAGATGACCAGCCAGTCCACGACAGACGAGTTAATTCATACTCAGGAACCGCAGGCTTTGTTTTCAGGCCTTTTACACAGATGCCTGATCACTTACCTAGAAGAAATAACTTAGAGCTTCAAAACTCCCTTGCGCCGGAAGTTGCGCTTGGTACTTCCTAGTAGGGTCCTAGCCAGAAGGTGGGAGTAATCGCCCCAGCCTGCGCCCCAGGGGGTGCCGCCTCTCCCAGAGTTGAAGAGTGAGGTGAGTGCGCCTCGTCACCAAGTGCGGGCCGGCCAGGCAGGATGAACCGCGTGCAGGGAGCTCTGAGAAGACTGGTAGGGCCTAGGGCCGCTTCCGCTGGCGGAGGGTTTTCTTTCCGGCTGGCAGGGCGGTGGCCAGTCTTCCCTCCGCCCCTCTGAGGTTCCCTGGAGGGCGAGGCTGCCCGATACTCCGCCAGGCTGGCCAGAAGGCCGACCCGGGAGCCTGGGTCCCTAGCAACTGCTTAGCTGAGCTCCTGACCACGCCTCCACGAGTTCCTATCAAGTACAGTACTCCCTGACCTTTAAGGACTGTATTTCAGGATCAAAAAGGAATCAATTCCCACCCCAACTATCAAAGAAAAAGGTGACTTTCCCACCGCCAGTTTTCATCTTTTTCTGCCTTCCCGTCCTGAGCTCTGTAGTAGTCGTGAGTGTCTACGATTTATCAAACAACTTAATACTTGTAAATATTCTTTTTAAAAAACACTTAAAATGTTGTATGTGTCTCCAAGAAACTATATCATGCAGTTCCTTCTGTAGACTTTTTGAGTCAAGAAGTCAGTCGTTCTGTATCTACAGATTGAATACTAAACTACAAGAAAAAGATAATTTTCAGGTAAATTAAGAATTGCTTGTACCTAACCAATGGATAACGAGAGTGCAAACCTACCTTCTCTACCTGTGTGCCAGGCAAAAATGAAGTTCTCTTGTCTTCTCTGAGGTTATTTAGTCTGACGTCACCTTTTGTGAGTTTTGTGCCCATGATTCTGTAATCCTTGGAGATGGATTTCCAAATTGTCTCCAACAGGAAATGATTTCCCCTAAGCTTATATAGCACTTTTAAAAATCATTTCGTTTTATGTGTGTTCATGTTTCACCTTCATGTATGTCTGTGAAAGTGTCAGATCCCCAGAAACTAGACTTACAGACAGTTGTGAGCTGCCATGTGGGTGCTGGGAATTGAACCTGGGTCCTCTGGGAGAGCAGGAAGTACTCTCAACCCCTGAGCCATCTCTGCAGCCTTTATATAGCACTTCTTGCATGTCTTATAATAGTCACTATTTAATGTATCCGCTGCTTACATATTTTTAACCTCACAACTGTTGTTATGCATGAATAAAATGGTTTGTGTGGAATTCGCCAGCTGGGCACCTAATCGTGCCCTGACATAGCGTCCCCTCGTTAGCTCTGTCCTGGATGACGGAGACAGTCCTAGCAGTGTCACTGCTCCTCGCTGTATTGAAATTGAGCGTAGTCCCCGGTACTGAGTGTTTTCTTAGGTCTACCCTCTGAAATCTTTACAGCATCGCCCCCCCCCCCCCCGTCTGTTTTATTGTGAAAATGTGCAGACTTTGCCAAGCTAGAAGAGCTAGGTGTGGTACACCCAGGAGGCTGAAGCAAGAGGATCTCAAGTCAAAGCCGCTGGAATACACAGTGAAATCTGATCTCCAAAAGGAGTGTGGGTAAGGGGGGTGGCTAGAGGCTGTACAGTCATGCACCATTTACTTATGTAGAATACTTGTTAACATTTTGCTATGTACACATTTCCTTCCTCACATTCCTAACTTATTACTATTTAAAAAATAAGTTATAGATCTGCTGTTCGACACCCATAAGATTTCCTATATGAATTTCCTAAGAATTTTGAAATAGAGAAACTGAAAAATACAGTATCATTACAACCAAGAAAATCTTCAGTTTTCTAAAGTAAAATACAAAGAATATACAAATCAAAATTCTGTCAAAACTTTGTAATGTACATGGACATTACCACTCTTTAACTTTAGAACTGTCCCGGGAATCTTCTTCCCCTCTGTGACATGGGCATTTTGAAGAAGTCAACCAGAAGTATTGTTGAAAATGGATACCTTTCCTTATTTCATGTGACCTAGAAGTTCAAGAATCAAGAGTCTTGATTAAGCTTGTTTCTTGTACATGACTACGTAACAGTATTATTTTTCCATTTGTGTTCTCAAATGCAACTACATGTACCCTTGCCATGTGTTACTAGTGAAGTCCATCCCATTTAGCATGCTGAAAGTTTGACATTTAACTTGCCTCTGTCTATAGAGTGCTTCCTAGTATTCTGGGCTGGCAATATAGACTGTCTCCCTTTAATAAATGTTGCTACTTCACCTATGCTTGAAGCTGATGCAATGAAATCTACAGCACAGTATACTGATGTCAGCATAGTTTCTTGAGTTTCAAGTCCTGGCACCCTGTGGACTGCTGTTGAAAAATTGTAGCTCTGTAATTCAAATACACAATCTTGATGTTATCACGGCGGATACCACAGCAACTGTGGTCCATCTGGCCACAATCCAGTTTAGGCAATGTTATTTTCTCCCTGAAATTCTTCTGCAAGATCTAATTGTTCCTGTTGTCTCTATGATAGCTTTTTGGTAGTAAGCATTGCCTATTAAAAATTGCAAAACCAAGATTGTACTTAACACTGAATTCATTAGTAACATTCTCTGCCCGATGGATACAGAACTGTGGAATTTAGTTGATAATCAAAAGAGAAAAACTCCCAAGAATGCACCCTACACTTTCTTTTCATCTTGAAAGTGAAAAGAAATCTCTTAGGTTAGTATAGAATGTTTTTAGCTATCATACTGAAAGTTAAAATAACATGTTTCAATAGTTACTTTCTTTGTATAGGAGGAAGTGTGCTCATATATGATTGTGAAACAATTTTAGCTTGGTACTAAATTCAAGAAGGCTAAATAATATAGTAGTTAAAACTAGGTTTTAGAATCAGACCTGGATTTCAGGAATATGACCATTCACTAGTAAGTGTCTGTGGGCCGTTTAAAACGAAATTTAAACATAATTCAAATATTATGTAAAGTACTTTAGCTTGCCTCATAGCTCACAGAATGTGGTCACAGTATGATTGTTATCTTCTAAATCAGTATAATTTAGGCACATATTAGGCATTAAATGTTTAAAGGTCAATGAGATAGACAATTCTCCAAATTTATATCAAAAACATAAAAGAGTCTAATTCATTGATTCTGGAGGACTTTAGAAAAAGTGCACATTTTTAATAATAAAGCAAGATTTTTATGCACAAAATCTGACATTTGAGGAATGAGCTTTAGAAAGCAATGTAAACTATCAAATAATTTTTTTCTTACATATTATGGAAATAGCTAACTAGTTATCTCAGCTACTAATTTTTTCACGAGACTAAAAATATTTTTAAGAAATATCACCTAGACCTGAATTTTAAAACAGGTTATTAAAGAACAGTATTTTACATGAGATGAATATGAACTTAATAGTGGTATATGCTATTGGAATCTCCCAGTGCTTATGATATCATCCAAATCCCCCAGGAGCAGTTCCTGTTCCAAGGCTTAGGCACATTTCCGAAACTAGACAGCACACATTTTATTAACATGAGTCTGAGTTAATTAGCCAGACTGAGCATGTTGCAGCACATCTATCCTAGCAGGTGCCAGCTAGCAAAGCAGAATAGAAGCTGCTATGTCTCCAGCTGTCTGATGTCTGATGTCAGTTGGCTTCTCCACATGAATGTTATCAGTCCACACTCTGCTGGCAGATGAGCATTTGCTTGAGTAAAAGTGGGTGTTACTACTGCACATCTACTTGGAAGCATTCGTTCAGGGCTCACTCTCACCTTTCCTTATTAGCTTACATTGGACAAGCTATATGAGACCGGAAGTGCAGCTCAGGGGTGAATGTCCAGTTAGTATACAAAAGGCCCAAAATTTAATACCCATTCTTCCAAAATCTGTTTTTGAAACCTCATCATTCAACTTCAACATTTGAATAAAACAAGATTTTTGTTATTGTTCCTACAATTCTGTGCCAAATTTCAATTCTGTGCACTTGAAACTGCACCAAACTGAATTTACTTTAAAAGAGCTAACAATGAGTATTTACAAAATAATTTATTTTAAAAGCCCTAACAATAAATATCCTTTGTATAATAGGATTGCTTCTGGTGGTTCAATATTTAGGATTTGAATCCTAGTTCCTAGCAGGCCAGAGCCGGTGGTTTTCACTAGTCGCACCTGCTCTGCTGGAGGATGAAGCAGGAGTATTACTTGAGCCCAGGAGTCGCAAAGCAACCTCAGCAACTGCATCCCAATCCTGTCTCAAGAGGGGGAGAGGAAGTTGGAGAAATGGCACAGACATTAAAAACTAGGTTTCCAACTTTAAAAAAAAAAATCAAACAAAAGTCAATCCCTGCACAACTGGTACAGTTAGACAATTGCAGTGGCTCTGTATTTAACTACAGGTCAATGTTAGATGTGCTTAACAGCTGAGCTGATAGGAGGAGGGAAGCAATGGGAATCCTGAGGACTAGAGAACTGGAGAGGACATGTTTATCAAATACTTCCAAATACAGCTAAAATTTGGATTTTATGTCAAATCTTCAGGTTTTCAAAATTGATTCAAACACTTTTTAAACATCCAGCAGACCATTAAACTAAATTAAAATTAAACTAGTCTGGGACTATAGGGCTCCAGCATTATGATGTCTATATTTCAAAAAAAAAGCAGTACGACTTAAAGAGTCACAAAATGCTTTAAAGCACTATTGTAGTCAGAGGCTGCTTGTTCGTTTCCCGAATGCTCAGACCCGAGGTAGTCACACAGAAACATAGTAATCGCAATACTGTTTGCCCAATAGCTCAAGGGTATTTGTAGCTAGCTCTTACATCTTGAATTAGCCCATTTCTGTTATTTTATATTTTACCATGAGATACGTGGTTTATCAGTACCTAGTGTCTTTCTCCTCCAGCAGCTACATGACGTCTCCCTGATGCCACCTACTCTCTACTCCTCTATCTGCTTAGAATTCCCATCCTGTCCCATTCTGCACTGCAACAGACCCAAAGCAGCTTCTTTATTAACCAATGGTATTCACAGCATACAGAGGAGAATCCCACATCACACTATTACTTCTCTTGGTAAGAATCAAGTCACTTGTCATCTCTGCCAAAGATTCAAGATAGATTTTTAACATACAACAGAATTCTGTTCCCTTGGTTACAGTCCGTATAGGTTTCTACTCTTCACTGCTCACTTAAAATCTTCCACGTGATTTCAGCCTTGAATTGTAGATATTATAAAGTACATTTGCTTTATCACACATTCTAAAAAACATATAAGGATACAACTTGGCAGTGCATGCTGCTTTAAATTTAAGTAAGTAAAAAATGTTAAAGAAAAACACTTAAATAGATCATGCTGTCATATTTATAGGGAATACAATGTCTACAAAAATTCAAAGGTCTTGGAACTTGGAAGATCCCTTAATGGCAGTGTAGAGCAAGTCCATCATGGCATAAAAATTTGACCTCGGATAGTAAACCATGCTGAATTTCT